TAGAAATTACTTTTTATTTACACCACATCCCACTCCATGAGGGAATAGGCCTTTACAAAGAAGCCTGACTGCCAGAAGGTGCCAATCCCCTTGGGGATTAAATAAACTTTCCCATGTGATTAAACAACAGAACTTCCAATAAAGATAGAAAATGATCTGTATCTGAAATTTATATTAAGCCCAAATGCAGTACTTTCTTCTTTGAAAAGTAAATGCAATGCACGATGTAATAAAATATCTATATAAATCCACAATAAAATTTTTAAAATGACAAAACATTAAAAAGTAGTCTTTGTGACCTGCACTTTGGCATAGTAAGTTAAGCCTATGGTGCCAGCACCCCAACTTGAACTGGGTTCCAATTCAAGACCAGGCTGTTTCTTCTCATCCAGTTCCATGCTAATGGCTTTAGAAAGAAGTAGAGGGGGCCCGGCGGCATGGCCTAGCGGCTACAGTCCTCGCCTTGAACGTGCCAGGAACCCATTTGGGCACCAGTTCTAATCCCGGCAGCTCCACTTCCCATCCAGCACCCTGCTTGTGGCCTGGGAAAGCAGCAGAGGACGGCCCAAAGGCTTGGGACCCTGCACCGTGTGGGAGACCTGGAAGAAGTTCCTGGATCCTGGCTTTGGATCGGCATAGCATCAGCTGTTGCGCTCACTTGGGGAGTGAATCATCGGACAGAAGATCTTTCTCACGGTCTTTCCTCCTCTCTGTATATCTGACTTTCCAATAAAAATAAATAAATCTTTAAAAAAGAAAGAAAGAAAGAAAGTAGAGGATGATGACCTAAGTGCTTGGGCTCCTGCACCCACATGGAAGACCTGGGAAGAAGCTCCTAGCATCTAGTTTCAGATAAGTCTAGCTCCACTTAGACTGACATCCCCGACTTTCAAACAAGCTTTAGAAGAAGGTCTAGCACCTGCCACCCTCACCTGTTAAAATGGTGGCAGAGGTGGTGTTGCCTCCCGAGATCTTTGTTCCTGCTGTTACAGTGCTGTATGCAATGGTTCATGGCCAGAGGACTCTACAGACACAAGGGCAAGGTCCTGGCACTGCAGATGGAAAAGTCAGTCAAGGAACAAGGGCATCTGCTGGAATCTGGAATGGGGCCTCAACACACCACCAAAAAAAGTCAAACTACCAACAGCCTAAACAGGCAGGGAAGGGTTTTCCCCTAACGCCTCAAGGAAAGAATGTAGTCCCATGGGTTCCGGCACAGGGAGGGCCGTATTGGATTCCCAAACCGCAAATGTACATATATTTTAATTGGTAAAGTAATATTACAGGGGACAGGCAGAGGCAGCTGAGCTAAGCCAAAACTAAAAAACGTGCAACTCTATCCAGGTCTCCCAAAGGTTGACAGGGGTCCAAGCATTTGAGTCATCTTCTACCACTTTCCCAGGTGAATAAGCAAAGAGCTGGAGAGGAAGTGGAGCAGCTGGAACACAAATTGGTGCTCCAAAAAGGGATGTTAAGCAGTGCCTTAACCCACTGAGGCACAAGGCTGGTTCTTCATTTTTGTTGTTTTTAAGCTACTAAATTTGTGGTATGTGTCAAGGAACCAATAATAATAATAATTTCAAAATTAACAAAACTTGAATTTCAGCTGGTGGAGAGACAATGAGTACTGACAGTACAAACAAGTATGTTGTGTAGGAGGCTGGAAGGTAAGTCCTGAGAGCAAACAACAGACATCTGTTGACCCTCCAACAGAGTGAGGATCATGAACTCTAGACAGGGAAGCTGGGGTCAAGTTCAGTGTTAAATAAAACAATGTCAGCGTCCTGATCTGCAACCCCCTACTCCACTATTGCAAAACACTGGGGACAGTGGAGGATACAAGCTTCCACATCACTTGGAAATCGTCAATGTTATGTTTACATTCATTGCTACACTGATACTCGAGATAGCAATAGAGGATTTTTCTGTATCATTATTACAGGAAGTAATAGCAGTTTGAAATGATTTGACTAGAAATGATGGCATATATTTGGAAACTTTAAGAAATGTTCTGGTGTGTTGTTACATATCTAAATACTCAACAGTAAAGATACTTGATCTCCCAAGTTGCCTCTGGGTCAGAATATTTATATTATATTTGCTGAAGGGCTTCAGAGTAAGTTAAGAAATAGAAATGCATGAAAAGCATATTCTGCCTTTTGTGAAATGGGAAACATCACAACTTGATTTTCATGACCAAGTTCAAAGGTACTGGCTAAGTTTCAGCTTTCAAAGGGCCAATTTTTAGGAAATATGTATGGTTGTTGGTAGACAGAATGGTCACAAAGAGAGACTTTAATATCCCGGGGGCTCATTTTCTGTTTATTTTCAGCTCTTGGAGAATCAAGAGCACTCAAGTCCTGGAACCAGAGCAAATTATGCTTTCAAATGTAGGCTCCTAGGCACTGGAACAAAACAGAATAAGGTAATTCCAGACTGAGTAACCATAAATAATAGAGAAAAAGGAAATACCACAAGGTATTGGCATGATAAGAACTTGTGTGGGTAAGCAAGCCCACGTAGCTTCCTGTGGTTCACTTCCTCCACCCCTGCACAGGCACATGTGCACAGTGCACACATTTCTGGAAGGATCTTGCGGAGCTGAACTTTTGGCAATGTATAAAAAGCTGTCCCTGTTACTACTCACCTCCAGAAGCACAGGAATGACTGCAAATGTCTAATTTACATATAGCCACCCCACAGACCCAATGGCAACACAAAGGAACCTCCAGAAGGAGGCACAAAAGTTTTTGCTTTATAAAGAAAAAAGAATTTCTACCATGGTTATATTACAAATATTTCTGGTCAGGGGAATGTTTCTTGAACCCTTTTAAACAGAACTTTTAAAACAGGTTTAAAATGGGATGCAATAGGTTTGTTAAGCCAAAATTCAAACATTACTTTTCAGTATTCAGTGTACTTTGCTTTAGAACTTTATCTCAAATCATCAAAATATTTACTTCACAGAAGAAACAGATAAAAGCAATTCTTGCTTTAAGAATTTAAGGGTTTTTTCTCAAACTAATACAGAAATCAAAAAGTATTTGTAAAAGAAATTATTGTTGTAATGATTCAGTCATCAAAGAAGCAGACTGATTTCTGCCTCCTCACTGGTTATGCTTTTAATAACAGAATACATAGCAAAGTGGGACCAGACTATTATCATAGCATATCTGCATGTTTTAAGGATGGAGAGGGTAGATTTTGGTAAAGCTTAGTATTAGAAATTCTTAATGAGTGATTAAATCTGTTAATGACTCTATGCATCACAAGATTTGGCACAGCATATCACTTAATGTATGTAAATGCCTATGTGCTTGGAAACTGTTGAGAACATTTACAACTGGGTAGGCAGTGAAAGGCTAAAGAAGTCCATTTCTAACACTATTAAGATCTGCATTTCCTTTAACAATCTAGGTCCTTAGGTTGGTGGTTACCCTAGCTCAGAGCCAATTAGCAAAGCAACATAATTAGTAGTAGGGACTTCAAAAAGTTGGTGTAAAATGGAATTAAAGATAACGGGATTTTGATATAAAACTGTATCTCCTAAGTCCATTTCCATCAGCTTTTTCAGCGTCTGAGCATGGGCATGTGTGAGCCTCTCTGTAAGATAACACTGAGTTTCTAAGCAATGATGGAATGCTTTTAAGATACTTCATCCAGTGAGTAACATAACGTAAAAATGGGGCATCTTTACTAGTGACAAATGAAAGGACCTTAAAGCACTTCGTTTTCTTTATGGTGATCCTTTGCTATTTGTATTGTAAGAACTGCAACTTCCCAAGCACAACTCTTTTATTATTAAAGGGTTGCACACAACTACATATTTCCAATGGAATTTCATACCAAATTTTCTTATTCATAAAAGCTGTAATTCTCAGAAAAATAAACATAAGGGAAGAGAGAAAAATTTAGATATATTGGTGTGAAAGTTATTTCTTTTTGAGTACTGGCAAAAACCGAACTCTTATGGGAAGTAAAACAATTTTTTAAATCCCTTAAGATACAATATTTGATTACCCTGTGAATACTGTATATTTATATGCCAAACACTGTAGACACAGAAAAATCAAATGACCAGTTCCAGGCTCCACAGAACCTTATTAACAAGGCCAGACAAAACTTAAAAAAAAATCACTAGTCAACTACTTAAGATGATTATTCTATTACTCTGTAATTTAGTATAAATCATTTGATCCTTACTGTTGTGCTTATAAGATTTTTATTTATCCTTGCTATAAAAAAATACTAACTTTAACAAAACTCAGGGCATCAATGAAATTACAGTACAAGAGATGTATGCCATTAAATTAAAGCCAGCTTATTTTTGCCTTAACTCTTACTTTATTCTGATTGTCACCACTTCACCTAAACCTTACATTTATAGTGAAAAATGAAATGGCAGGAAGGGCTTAAGAAGTTTAAATTCTCTAAGGCTACTCATTTTAAAGATAATTTCAACATAGTAATTTCTATTTCATCTATAGAGTTTCCATTGTTAATGTTACAATTATGTTTAATTCTGTTTGGTACTATTAACTGTAGAATGAAAACCTTCAGATATATCTCCTACTTTAAAACCTAATGAAATATTTTCCTCATTAGTCACAGATCATCTGAAATGTTCCTTTGTTATAATCACAACATTTACATAATTCTTATAAACATTTACACACTATCACATGTAATTTTTTACATTGTGAAATAAAGACTTAAAATTCTAAGATACACTGAAAAGTAATGTTCCGCAGCAATGGTTAAAAACAAAACTTACCAGCATTTTTATAAACCAGTGCCAGCCTCAGGCCAAGCTAACAGGTCTCCAGTATCCTGTGAAAGAATGCGTTCCATCTAACAAGGAGTGGCAGTTCTCTATAAGACCTGATGATTTCAAGAATACTTTTACTAAGAACATAAGCTGGCATATAACCGATGCCTCTCCTGTCTTTTGGATCATAAAATTTAAAAACCCCACTACGTACGTGAATGAAACCTCTTACCTAAAGAGTGTGCGGCTGTGGTTTTGGAGCTGAAAAACCGGCCAAGACCAAGGTCACCAAGTTTTACCACCCCAGTGGCTGTAATGAACACATTAGCAGGTTTGATATCTGTGAATAAATGAAAGTATCAAGTGAAAGATGCTGCAACCTTACAAATTTAGAGAAAAGAGGTTAAAAACCATTTTGCAGGACAGAGTTTAAAATGTATGTTAAGCATGAATGCTTGGAATTTTGACCAACGATTCTGAGTGACTGTGGTGCATCCTAATCCCTCCGAGCCCTCGGTGCTCTGGCAGTGCTAAGGGTAACAGGATGAACCACCTTGGGAATTTCCACTTAAACACATCTGATTTTCCACTTCCAAATAATCTGCTGTGAAGTTGAAAGCAGGGAACAAGTGTGTGGCGTTTTAAATTTTAGATAAATACTTTAGGAAAGGTATTTATTGGCATATTTACATGTGACATACAAACACGGCTTAACACTATTATGCATATCATTACTTGCTAAGATGGATAGGGGAATTTTAATTGCTTTGACAAACTGCACAGGAAATTTTCACGCCCCCAAATCAATGTATCAATTACGTGGTGTTGTAATCTTAACGTATTCTGCCGAAGCATTTGATTGATAATGTAGAATGTATTCAGAATTAACACTGAAAACTAATAATCTAAAATACATTGTTCATTTGGAGAAAAAAAAAATCTCTTGTTTATGCATGTTCAACTGCTTTCCTGTGTTTTTTCCCAACACTAACTAGTAGGATAAGAGTCAAGAAGACTATAATTCTTACTAAGGAAAAGTAGAGCTTTCCTTGAAAGTGAATCATTTTTGTAAAACTGAACCTTAGAAATGAGACCTGAGAACAGTGACAGCATGCAATATTTAGAAGACACGCATGTGACGCTGCTTCATGACACACACCCGTCCGGCCAGCACTGTAGGTGCCGGGGCAGGCCGCCTTACCTCGGTGCATCACTCTCCGAGAGTGCATGTGTTCCAGGGCACTGCACAGCTGCACAAAGTACTTCCAGACAGTTCTCTCAGGAATCAGCCTCTTTTGTTTCTTAAAATGCTTTTGAAAAAATCAAAAATAACATCTTTGAGAACTAAAAATTTTAAGATTAGACCCTGACAGGGTCCACGTCAGAAAAACACCTAATGTGCACACCCATCGTCAACTACACAGCACATGGTTTTCCATTCAGCAGGAATTCTCTAAATTCTACCTAATATTGTAACTTAACTTTGTGCCTAAGGTTAGCAAAAGCTATGTAACACTATTCCATGTGGTGTCCATCAATGTCACATGTTAAACATCTATGTGAAACAATTTCTTGTCAGAAAATAAAGACATCGATTTCACTGTAAGAAAACAGAGAGGGAGGAGGAAGAAAGGAGGGAGGGAAAAGAAGGGAGGATGGAGGGAGGGAGGAAGAAAGGAGGGAGGGAAAAGAAGGAAAGAAACCTGAAGGCCATTATCTTCATTAAAAAACAATCCTGGCAAAGGGTTTCACTACAGAATTTCCTTTTAATACCACAACACCTTGGTGAGTTAAAATACCACGAATGATAAATGAAATTTAATAAAAGAAATTTAAAAGTTTTAATGAATGTACTGTACAATGCAAATCAAGCTTGCACTTTACTTTGAATGCACAAAACTAAACTCCATGGAAGAAAAACCTTACTGGAAGACTGGTGCAAAATGCTGAGAGCAGCAAGAGACCGGTTAGCAGGGAGCAGGTGCCAGTGCCATAAAGGACAATTCTTAAAATAACTGCACAAGTATGCTCATTTTCCTACAAGAACTTTCCTGGGGATTATACCAGAAATATATTTATTCAAGAGTAAATTTACTAGCTTCAGAGCACTTATAGATAGAGATCTACCTTGTGGAAACTATTTTCAAAACAAAGATGCAATTGATTTCCTACTTAACAATATTTACAAATGACCAACATGGAGAAATATTGCATTTTAAACAGGTTTTCAAAAACTTTTTCTTCCAATTTAAAAAATATGCTTATTAATAAAATGAAAAAGTAAGTATTTAACACATTTTATCTGGAGAAGATATTATTAGGAGGCTGAAGGTTTTTGATTTTTTTCTTTTACTAAGGAAACATGAAGCAGGGGAGAATCCCAAAACCACCACCTGTCAGTTTTCAGACCTGTAGCCAGCTGAGGGCGGGCTGAAAAAACAAAACAAAACAAACAGAAAACACGAAATTTGTTCCCTGCCTCGTACTTAGTATCTATTGTGTCATATGTACTCAGTACACCAAGGAATAAATCTTTAAGGACAAAATAACAAATTTGGTTAACTTAATTGTAAGATACACTATGGAAATGAGCTTATTAGCAAGTTCAGTAACATTACATGCCAAAGAAAAAAAACACCTAGATGATCAGGTTTTTTACAAATCAGGCATTACTAAAACGTTGAAAACTGCCCACAGGATTATTTTAACATGAAATCTTCTTAATTGCAGAGTGTGTCAACATCAGTTTTTACTTGGAGGAGGCAATCCTGGAAAATAATTTCTTTACACATATTTTCTTTCAGACTTGGAAAAACTCCAAATGAAGCCTGTATATGTGCTCTCCCCAGTGACAGATTAGCATATCAGAAGGCTGTTTGATGCCAACAAGGATAGAGAGCAGATTTCTTTTCATTCAAAAATAACTGTGCCATATCATGTAAGTATCAGACCATGAAAGGAAAGACTTATGCTTTCATATAAATTCTGAAATCATCATAATTATTATCTGACCATATCCTCTTTAAATCACATTATTAAGAATAAATCAAATATTTTAAAAAGTGAAAAATGCAAAAAATATTCTCAAATGCATGTTAGGTTAGGTGTTATCAGACTAATGTGGTCTGATGACTTTCATGTGTTTATATTCTTTGAGATTGCCTCTAACAACAAATTAAAGATGGAAACAAAGTCACATGGAAAAACTCTGCCTAGACAGAAGGACCGGGCACGAGCTAAGGGTCTAACTGAGTAACAGAATGTTGAAAAAAAATACTCTGAATTTTATTTTGTTAAAAAATAAATTTGATTATATTGATATTTCCCATTTTTAACGGTCTGTTTAAGCAACTGTGGCTGTTTGGCCAATTTGAGAATTCTTTTCTTCTAACACTTAAACTGAGAAAAGCCTGTTTGTTCTGATGGTGGCACTGTTGGCTATCTCTACAAAAGGATGGACAGCAAGAAGGTAATATAAATTTGAATTATTTTTACTAATGGTAAACTTTACATTAGGAAGAACTAGTATAATACTATAGTGTTAAAACATTCTCTTAAAATTCATGCTAATAAACACGAAATTTTAAAAGTTAATTATCCAGCCTAATATCATCCTTGTTCAAAAATTCCAGTTTCCTCTAAAAAAGTCAGTCCTATGTATACATTTAGCTCTAGATTATAAGAGTCAATATATAAAAATCTAAAACATATTTTCATGTAGTAAGATTTTAGTAAAGTAATAAATAATGCAACCTAAATTTCTAAAGATTAGTATCAATACAAATGAAACGAAAAATAAACATTATATGGTATGACACTATGTTATGAAATAAAATTGCAACTTTTTATACCTCAAAAGTATCTGAAAATTTATGAACAGATTGAAATTAACACTCATATACTTGATCACTTGCACTTATTGTTTTAATCAGAGAAGGCTTATTCTTTTCTCTAGGCAAATTTCTAAATAACATTCATTTTAAAAGAACACTTTCTGTCTCTATCTACATTGCTAAAATAAGCACTGGCTGTTATGCAAATAGAATAGATATGCCAAAAAAAAAAAAGCTAACCAATTTGCATGTGATATACATGTGCACACACCAGCTTTTGCTTAGGTAAAATCTTGTTAACTCACACCTGATTACACACATGTGCATCACCACTTAAGTGACTTAGGTTAATACCAATAAGGCCAACTGGTACAATATGCTTCCATTAAAACATTTTGGGGAAAGAGTCACAGCTTAATAATCACATCTTTAAAAAATATATATCACCAAGTATCCTCCTACAAATAAATGCCCAAACTCAAATCCAAGCCAATGGTGGGCATTGATCATCCAAGTACTGTTTTACAAACATAGCCGGGCAACCTAGGTACTCCTCGCCTTTAAGTTTTGCAATTCTATTCTTTTTCAAGAAACTTCTGGAAGTACTTCAATGATATTAGTCAGCATAAACGTATGAACAGAGAATGAAATAGATATGACCATCTTTTATAAAAAGCATTAATCCCTGGTGTATCAAAACATTGAAGTGTATGGTTTGGTATGCTGATCTGGGCAAGACATCTGGAACCTTACAGTTAGCTTCATGGCTGCACAACCTGTTGATTGCAGGGCCTGATCACCTATTGTTACCATCTGGGAAATTCATGAACAATTTTTAAAGGAGACATGCGATTATGTAGCCTATCTCGAGAACACATACAGAGCATTCTTCAGAAACGTACGATTGTATTTTTTGAAAAACTAAGACCAATGTGATCCTGCTGTGTAAAGCATCTTTTAAAGGGATTTATTTATTTACTTGAAAGGGAAGAATTACAGAGATGAAAAGAGGAAAGGGCAGTCTTTCATCCAATGGTTCACTACCCACACCACCACAAGAGCTGGGGTTGTGCTGATCTGAAGCCAGGTGTCAGGAGCATCCTCCGGGACTTGCAAATGGGTGGAGATGGGTGCAGGGGCCCAAGGACTTAGGCCATCCTTCGCTGCTTTCCCAGGGACATTAGCAGAGAGATGGATGGGAAGTGGAGCAGCCAGGACACAAACTGGGTGGCCACATAGCACGCTGGTGCCTTGAGCGGCTATTTTACATGATATCCCACAGTGCTGGCCTCTGTGTGAGGTATTTTCAAAGAGAATTAAGAAAAATATATATAATTAAATAATGAGAAATAACGAAGTTATATGAGAACACAATTACAGGCACCAGCTGTTCTCCTTCTCTTCCAAGTATCTAACAAGAGGAAGTAACTGATTAGTGTCACATACGAGGAAGCATTTCCTGCTTGGAGTACGGTCAAATGTTTAAACATGTCACTAACACAATCCATATTCATCTTTTAACAGATCTGATTATGAGACCTGACAGTGACTGGTGCTGTGACCTTGAAAAAGCCACATAACTCGGCTGCATCTGTTTCCTCACTTTTCGAGACAGAATTTGGAGATGGGATATGAAATCCTCACCACTTTTGAAACACAGTCTCAATCACAACCAACACATGAACAACCCATGTTTGCCTCATTTACACAACTGAAACCAATGATAGTTTACTGATCGTCCTAATCATCACATTCCACATTGAAACTGAAGCAAAAGGAGGGAAAGGCCCCGAGGTGCCACCGTTATATCACATGTCAGAGCTCCTCATTATAAATGTAACATCGGAAGAGTTAGTACCTTCCAAAACATTTTTTTTTGATAATTAGAATGTATTTCTGTAGGACCATATTTTCACAGCTCATTTCAAAGAATTAATGGAAAAAAAAGAAAGGGTGGTGGGAAAGATAGCTTCTGAAGTTGTAACTCAAAGTTGATGGGTTTTTTATAATGCATTAATCACTCTATGCATGCATGTTATTCTGAAGCTTCTAGGAAGTGCCAACAGAATAAACTACACCAAGATTTGCTATCTGTAACTCTGGGGGAATTACACACACGTGTAAAGCACATCTCAATGGAAATCTTGGTAGGTAATACTAACTTAGCCATGTGTGGATCTTTTCACTCCTGACCCTATGAATGAAACTCAGTTATCTCAAGCTGCTTCAGAAAGTGAGAAGCACAACGGCCCACCAATCCTGGGATCATGGAAAACACCACTGTCATGTTACCAACAGAAGGGAGGAGCACATTTCATCCTAGAGACAACACTAGTGTGAATTAGCAAAGATTTTCCTCAATCAGTAAGGCTTTTGGCCATGGTGGTGGGATGCTATGTTTAAATTATTTAGTAAATAAGAAAAATAAGCTCCAATAAGGTCATGATGTTCTCTCCCTCCCCTGAAAAAGAAAAAGC